CTGAGAGAATGGAGGGAGGCAGTGTTGGCGTTAGGTTGGGTTCCAATGGTGAAGGTCTTGAATGCAGGCCAGGGCACAGGCTCTGAACCAAGCAGGTGTCAGGAGGCCTGCTGGGAGGTCTGGCTGTGACTTGGCAAGTCGTTCAGGGTAGAGGGCCACAGTGAGGGTGGTGGTCCCTGTGATTTCACTCTTAACTGCCATGCCAGGCTTGGAGTGGGAAGAACGGGAGGGACACTGAGGAGGCTTACTCTCTCGGGGTGTGGAGGCAGGAGGAAGAGGGGAAGTGGGAGGTGGAACACTCCACCCCAACCTGGGGCAGCCAGGAGAAAGGGCCGTGAGAGTGTGGTCCTAGGAATAGGCAGTGGAGAGCTGGGGAGGGGGAGCTGGCTGTGCTGCTTTGGAGTGGGTTCCAGCTGTGTTCTCCCCCATGTGCGCACTGGGGAGGGAAGATGAGGGCTGAGGTGGGTTACATTGTGACCTGGCTGCACTTGGGGTGCTACGGAGCCCCAGTCAGTGTGCCTGGCACAGCTCCGCACCTGTGTTGGGTTGTGACGTCTATACAACACTGAATGAGTTTGGGGGAGAGCCCGGGAGGGAAGGAGAAGAGGGTAGGGGAGAGGTACCCGGTGGAGCTCTTTCCCACTGACCACTAAAAGGTCAGTTAGTCATGTTTCCACTTCTTAATCTTCTTAATTTAACTGACTGACCAACTGAAATTATATATACATATTATACATATGTGTTATGTCTGTGTCTCTGTGTGTATGTGGTTTTGTTTTTTGGTATTTTGGTTTTGTCTTTACTTTTGAAACAGGGTCTCACCATTGAACTCTGGCTGGCCTGGTACTCACAGTGGTTCTCATTTGCTTCGGGAGTGCTGGGATTAAAGATCTCCACTACCACATCTGGCTTAACATTGTATATATTTATGGTGTACACCGTGATCCTTGATGTATGTCTGCAGGGTGGAATGGCTGAATTAAGCTAATTCACGTATCTGTTAGCAGTGATGACGCTGACTCTTTGTGTGGTGAGAACGTTTAAAATCCATCCTCTTAGCCGTTCTCAAGCACCTGTAGACAGTCACCTAAGAAGAGTTACCATGTTGTAAATGAGCTTTCTGGATTCTCTTATGTCCAACAGAAGTTTGACAAACCCCCGCCCCTTCCCTGCCCCGGCCTCTGAGAACTACCGTTTTATTCTTGGATGCTATGAGTTGGACGTTTTTAGGTTCTCTGAGACATTTGTCTTTCTGATTTTGATTAACACACTCTATCAGGTTCATCCACATTGTTGCTGATGACAGGATTCCCTCTGTTTTAAAAGCCGAAAGGTACTGTAGTGTGTACCTGTCTCCTACACTGCCTTTCTCTGTTCCTCTGTTGACACTCGGGTGGACTCCCTCTCCTGGCGACTGTGGACGGTGCTGCGACGAGCATCCCCTGTCATTCCTCATCATTTTAACAGCCTTTAGAAAGGGGTCGCTTGGGAAGAAAGCGCCTGTGGGTGGAAGTAAACCGTGAAAGACAGGAAGGTTTATTATTAAAAAGGACATGATCTGAGAACAGAAGTCCTGAGGGGAGCGGCAGGTCAGCGCGGTTCCTCCGGTCAGCCGGGCCAGGGTGCAGGCCCATGGGAAGCCGTCCTCCGGTCACATTCCCTGTGGCAGTAATTGGCAATGTCATGGCCAGCGCAGCCTTCGGTGTCCTGGAAATTGTCCTGGTAGAGCTTTGAAACTGTAAAGTTTGGAAGAGAACAGCTTGGGCTTTAGAGAGATGCTGGCCGTGAAAGGTAGGAAGGGTACAGCCCTGGGACTAGAGTTCCCACCCGTGAGGAAGTCACTGGACTTTGAAAGGTGTTCCTTCAGGGCATGAAATGGGAACTGGGAGTAGTAAACATTGTATGTGTGTGCTCATGTGTGTTGGTGTGTACCCCAGGAACCAGGCTGCGCACCTATTTGTGTTGGGGGGAGGGTCCAAGCACAGTCATGCCACAGCAGAGGTGTGGAGGTCAGAGAACAGCTGTCCTTTCTACATTGTTGAGGACGCTCTCCTGCTGTTTCTGCCATTGATGTGTACTCCAGACTAGCAGGCCTGTGAGCCTCCAGGTAATTCTCCTGTCTGTGCCTTCCATCTTGCCATGTAAGTGCTGGGATTACCAACGAGTACCACCAGGCTGGCCCCCTACATTGGTTCTAGAGATTGAACTCAGGTCGTTCAGTCTGGCATAACTAGTGTTTTTACTTGCCAAGCCATTCCCCCCGCCCCTCTTAAGGATATTTCTAATTCTTATCCTTGTGGTGATGTTAGGAGGCATTGTTATAGTCATTGTCTGCATCGTTACAGATGAGGTATCAGAGAGCTCATGAAATGTGTTCAAGATTGCGGGTCGATGGCTGAAGCAGGGTCAGCACCCAGTCCGCCTGCTGACCCCTGGTGCTTCACAGCTGCAGACCATTTTCATAGCTCTCCATGGCCTCAGGAAGCAGTGTCCAGGTTGATGCCGTTGCATCAGAAAGTGTTACCCAGACCACACTCCAAGGAGACCGAGTTCTGTAAAGGGCAGCCAGAGTGGCTGCTGCCGCACAAAGTTGAGAGCACTGTCTAGGGTGGCTGTGTTGCATATTTCTATCTCGCTGGCTCCGAGCTTCCTCCACACTTGCCAAGAAACTCATGCTAAAGCCCCTTGCTAGCCTTCCTTCTTCCTCCTGCCCCCTCCACATCACCCGAGCTTCTCCAGTCGCCACACGCCCCTGCCACTGTGGTGCCCCAGTGTGTGGGACGCTCTGAAGCTTCAATGTCACCAGCGGTGACGCTTTTCCTCCAAGCTCCCTTGTGTTCTCTTGTCTGGCAGTTGCCCACTCCACAGCGACTACACCGTTCGAGTGTCTCAACCCCAAGCTTCAAATATATTGCCTTGTGCACAGCAGGCACCCAGCGGTTTTGCTAATTTCATGGTCAGGTTTCTAGAAACCGGTGTGCCACCTTGCTGTGTGCACAGCCAGTTCAACTCTGTCATTTCCACGTGAGATGAACTTGGTCGTTCTGTTCTGCTTTTCAGTCTGAACCACATTTGGGCACAACAGAAGGGTCTAAAGCCTTGAATGTGGGGAGCCGAGAGTCTTTCACAAGTTCCTGGGAGGTTACCCCACAATCACTTGCTGCCGGGAAAGCTTATGACGTGTTAGCCCCCTTCGGGGAGGTGGGAAGACAATCTCAGAGCCCACCCCCCCTGCACTGCTGTCCCCCCACACAGTGAAGTGACGCAGCCTGGTCCTCTCTACCACTGATGTCCCAGCAACCTACGGTCCCTGCTTACACAGCATCCACGTCACAGCAGGCTGCTCACACAGCCACTCAGGGGCCCTGTGGGTTTACTTCTATGGCGCAGCCTAGTCTAACACACGATTAAATGCTTGTGAAGACGGCATTTGAGAGAATTAAGATTTTGAGTTCTTTCCATTTCCTAGCCCTGTTAGTCATTCTCGGAGAAGTCATGATGTTATAAATTTCATTAGAAGTGTAAATCACAAAAGAACAGTTCCTTGACCTCAGCAGTCTATAATCCATGTGAGTCATAAATAAAAGCAGCAAGAAATAAAACAAAATTGCTAAAGGTGATGGAGATAAAGAGAGCACTGGAAAGTGGAAGGCTCTGTTTAAGTTGAATGATTTTTTTTTTTCCTCATCGAAGGCAAAGCGCTTGGAGGGGAAAAAATGTAGACATTCTAATAACCTTACCATCAATCCAGGGGATATATCTTGAGTTCTTCCTGTGTTCCAGGATCTTGGGGATGAGACTTCCAAGCAAAGAGTAGCTGCAGAGTGGCTAACTGGTGTAGGAAAGCATATGGGAGTTCAGAGAAAGAGCGCCATCCCCAGGGACACTGAGGCTTGCAGAACATCCCAAACGCTGTTGTCCCACAAGGGCATCGGCCTGTGGAGGGGCAGTGGGGAGCAAGGCAGGCTACCCAGGGGTTCTAATGCAGGTTCCTTAAGGAGGCAAGTGTGGAGGAGGCCTGCAGCGGTGAGGATACCAACACGGAAACACCGTAGGGAAGTGGGCGGTGATACTGGGCAGACTTAACCAGGGCCGGGTTCACTGTGGGGTGGTTTCACGGTTGGCAGAGTCACAGGGTGAGGTATTCGTGGCAGTGAAAAGAATGTCCTTTGGGGGAGTCTAAGCCGGGGGTGTTGGCTGACTGAATACAGATTCAGTGGAAAATAGCAAATGAGGATAAGAATATGTATGAGGATAGGGACCTGGGGGCCTTGCATTTGGGGCACGGCCAGGAGTGGTCAGAACCTGAGTCCTCGTGGGCCTCGGAATGTCGGTTGTTCTCTAGGTTAGAACTTGGCATTACTCTTCCAGTGGGAGCCTCGGAGGTCTGTGGGCTTGCATGGCCTCCCAGAGACAGTCTTGATAGAATGTGGACACTAGGTTTCTGAGATCCTCCCCAAAGACTCCAGCTGCCCGGAGTCCCTGTCAGTTTCCCTCATTCTGTGCAAAAGTGGGGGTTCTGACCCAGGACATCGGGCTCCTCTGGCCGTGGGTGTTTTCTTTCTATTTTTAGTCTTATTTTTTTTTTTAATGTGTATGGGTATTTTGCCTGTATGTATGTCTGTGCACCCCATGTGTACCGTGTCCTCAGGGGCTATAAGAGGGGGTTGGGTCCCCTGGAACTGGAGTCACAGATGGTTGTAATTGCAGTATGGGTTTTGGGAGTTGACCCCAGGTCCTCTGCAAGAGCAGCACATGTTCTTAGCCTCCGATTCATCTCTCCGGCCACCTTGGCTGTTTCCTTAAGGCAGATCTAGGAAGAAGTGATTTACAAGCATTGAGAAACACTCTTGTAGGGTCTATGCCACCCAATACAAAAACGTGATTTCTATCCCAGAAGCTGGCGGGATGCACAGTTTGTCCAGACTATGAGCGGTCCTAGCTCGTTCCTTTGGCTGCTTCTTACATTGCTGTGTTTTTTCTCTCTCTCTCTCCTTCAGAGCCAGAATACCAGGTCTACTTGAACGCGTCTAAGGTCCCTGGATTTTCAGATGACCCCACAGAACTGCAATGCCGGGTGGTGGACATGAAGCGCGTGGAGGCTGGCGTCCGACTTACCGTGTCGTGGTACTACCGAATGAACCGTCGCAGTGACGATGTGGTGGCCAGTGAGCTTCTTGCAGTCATGGATGGGGACTGGACTCTGAGATACGGAGAGAGGAGCAAGCAGCGGGCCCAGGGTGGAGAGTTTATTTTTTCTAAGGAGCACACAGACACGTTCAGTTTCCGGATCCAAAGGACTACAGAGGAAGACAGGGGCAATTACTACTGTGTTGTGTCTGCCTGGACCAGGCAGAGAAACAACAGCTGGGTAAAAAGTAAGGACGTCTTCTCCAAGCCGGTCAACATATTCTGGGCCTCAGAAGGTAGGAACTTCATGCTGGTCATTGTTCAGTTTTGTTTAGTTTCTTACGTCATCTGTCTGGGTCTGTTTCAGTTACCACCTCCCTCCCCCGCAACTCACTCTGGAAACCCATGTGATGCTCTAGGGAGCTGTAGTCACCCCACGACCCTCTTTAGACTCACTGCCACTTCTCGTGTGTCCCCAAGCTAAGACACTGTCAGTAGCAAAGCCTTGCATCTCCTGAACTCCATTGTTTCTTTTTCTTTTCAGTCACCAGCCTCCTCTCTGAGAACAGTTGTCCCAGAAGCCCTCCTAAGTGGTAGTGTTTTCTTCCCACATTCCGTCAAGAGGAGCCGGGTACCCTCCTTGTTCCTCAGGGCAGTTTCTACCATTTCCCTTGAGCCCCAGAAGTCCCCCCCTGCATCTCTTTGCCCAGGGCTAGACCTTTCCTCCTCTCCACTCCTGTCAAGAACTGCATTGACTCCTGGGTCTTCTGCTCATTTGCTGGAGATGCCAGCCTGGCTTTCACGGCCACTCTGTTACTACTCCTGGCTGGCTGGCTTTGTTGAAGTCATCCTGGGAGCTTTCACAAAGAAAAGACCCCGGGAGAAATTATGTTTGAATTGGTCTGAGGTGTGTGTGGTCTGGACACTGGTATTGAATCGTCTAGAGTAGCCACTGTGGAGAACCCTGACGGAGACAAGGCTTTTGTTCTCGGTCCCCTGTCTCTGTCTCTCTGAGTGTCACATCCTCTGTCCTTTTCAGTCCTTCACTCCTGATTCTGGACATCAGACCTGCTCACTTCTGATAGCTGAAACCTAACCCCCCACCCCTCACCCCCACCCCCCGGTAGCTGAAGCTTCGCATGCCTGGTTCTCTCTGCACACAGGCTTTCTGGATCCTTCCCTGTAGTGTTTCTGTCCTGGTGATCCTGCCATCTCTTTCCTCTCACTGGGGCTTCACTTCTCTCTCACCAGGAAGTCCAGCATGTACTTGTAGCTCTCCTGATGTGTGTCCAGGGCCAAGGGGTAAGGAGAATTAGATGATCACCTACTGATAGCTAAGCCTCGGTTCCCAGTCAGTCATGCCCCTCCTTGGCATCCTTAACTCTTGTGCCCCTGGCTTGGTCTGCCCTATATTCTGCTTACAGCACAGCCCGATTCAAAGCCAGCCTGGCTGTCTCCTTGGCTGCGTGTGCAGAGCTGGATGCAGTCGAAGGAAAAAAACATTCCAACAGTGGTCTGGTCTCTCTTGAAATCTCCAGTCCCTTCTGTCACATGGGCTCTCAACATGGAGAGCCATTCTGGTTCCCTTCATGTGTTTACTTCCCCACTCTCCTAAGTGCTAATTGCATGCCACCTGCTCTCTCTGCAAACATCCTCCCCCCGCCTCCATCAGCTTCTGGCCTTGCCTCTCCACCCCCTATAAAAAGACAGTCAAAGGAGAACTTACATCTGCCATGTCCAGCATTGAACCTGTTCCTCACCCTTACGTCTTAGCAAAGGTCAGCCCCTCTCACAGCCCAGGCCCATGACCCTCTCTCTCATGTCTTCCATATTCTCTCTCCTCTGGTCCTTTCCCACCAGCCTGTTAACAGTGCTGTTAGGGAAACTAATTTTCTTCTTCCTCCATCTTTCTGTTTCGAACAACCCTTGCCCACCACTCTGTCCTCGTGTGGCGGCGGCGCATTTGATTGAGCTATATTTAATATCTCTAGTTTCTCCTCCATTTCTCTTTGGTACCCGCTTTCCCCTTCACGGCACATGTTAAGATCACCAGACATCAGCGCACTGCAGACACCTATTGTCAGTGTCCTTCCTGGACCGGGACTGTTTCTTCCGTCCAGAAGTGCTTTGGCTTTTCCCATGGCTGGTGGGCTGCCTTTCCCAGACTTGTTTCCATTCTCTTTGGCTGCTGCATCTCAGCCTTCTTTGCCGCTTCCTGTCTGTTCTCCCAGTTCCCGTACAGGACACCGCATCAGGCGTGGTCCCCGAGTTCCTGCTCACCTCCCTTCGCAGTGTCTTCACACTCCACAGAGCAATGCCTGACTCCCAGTTCTGCATGTTTATCCCAGCATGTTCTAGAACTCTAGACTCTGTGATATGCTGCCTGCCTGCTTGCCTAGCAGGCACCTCTCAGACTTGTGTCCGAAGTGGAACCCCTGGCCTCTGTAACTTATCTTCTTCCATCTTTAGTTGCCGACCTAAGCCTTTGCCTCTGATTCCTCATTCTCTTTATTTTGTCTTGCTTTGTTTTGTTTAATGTGCTGGAGATTGAACCTAGGTAGGACTTTACAAGTGTTATGCAAGCTGGCCATGCCCTGACCCCTTACTTCCCCTTTTGGGTTATTGTTTGATGATTTGTGGCCTTTTTGTGTTAGAGGTTAAGGTCTCATGTATCTAGTCATCCTCAAACTCACCATGTAGTGAGAGGTGGCTTTGATCTCCTGACTCTCCTGTCAGTACCTCCTAAGTGCTGGGGTGACAGACACCACCATGCCCAGTTCTAACTCCTCATTCTTGGGACTGGTTTGGAGTCTAACGGCTTCTCATGCTTCACTCTTAATGAGCACTGCTAGCTCTCACTTGTATTTACATTGGCTGCCTCTTCTCTGGGCTCCTTGCAGCCACCCTTAACTACACCCTCAGCAGTTGGACAGTGGTGGCGCACGCCCTTAATCCCAGTGCTTGGGAGGCAGAAGCAGGCGAATCTCTGAGTTCAAGGCCAGCCTTGTCTACAGAGAGAGAGTTCCAGAACAGCCAGGCCTACACAGAGAAACTCTGTCTAGAAAGAAAAAAAAAAATCACACCCTTAGTGCTGTGGGATGTTCTGTATGGCAAATGTGTTGCTCTGATTGGTCAATAAATAAAACACTGATTGGCCAGTGGCAGGAAGTATAGGCAGGACTAACAGAGAGGAGAAAAGAAAGAACAGGAAGGCAGAAGGAGTCACTGCCAGCCGCCGCCATGACAAGCAGCATGTGAAGACGCCGGTAAGCCACGAGCCACATGGCAAGGTGGAATTAATTTGGAAATGGATTAATTTAAGCTATAAGAACAGTTAGCAAGAAGCCTGCCACAGCCGGGCGGTGGTGGCGCACGCCTTTAATCCCAGCACTGGGGAGGCAGAGCCAGGCGGATCTCTGTGAGTTCGAGGCCAGCCTGGGCTACCAAGTGAGCTCCAGGAAAGGCGCAAAACTACGCAGAGAAACCCTGTCTCGAAAAACCAAAAAAAAAAAAAAAACAACAAAAAAAAGAAGCCTGCCACAGCCATACAGCTTGTAAGCAATATAAGTCTCTGTGTTTACTTGGTTGGGTCTGAGCGGCTGTGGGACTGGCGGGTGACAGAGATTTGTCCTGACTGTGGGCCAGGTAGGAAAACTCTAACTACACCTTAGCATCCAGTCAGATCATGACAGTCTTCCACCCTGAACCTTCACAGGTTCCCTGTCTTCAGTGGCCTTGAGTGACTGTCCAGCTTCTGCCACAGCTCTACCCATTCCTCTGCCCTTCCCATGGTTCCCCTCAACACCTGACAAGCTCTGTAGCTCACCATTGCTGTCTCCTCTGCCTAGAAAGCTTTCCCACCTCCCTCAGGGGGCAGAAAAATGTTGCCTTCTTAGTGGGACCTTCCTGGGCCACTCTGTCCATAACTCTGCTCCCTTCCCCATATCCGGTCCTCCGCTTTCTCTTTCTTGTCTGTTTTTCTTCTGTGGTGGTTCTTACGTTCTTACCATCTAGGCACGCTGTGTACTTCATCTGCTCGTCTTCCTCTACTGGTACATGAAGTGAAGGGTCGCTGCGCCTTTGGCTTACCGTTTCATCACCAGAGCCTGTGATAGGAAGGCTGTCAGTCATTACGTCTGATTCATGAATGGAAGGCCAAGCTCACAGGAGAAGTTTCATCACCAGAGCCTGTGATAGGAAGGCTGTCAGTCATTACGTCTGATTCATGAATGGAAGGCCAAGTTCACAGGAGAAGCAATGATGAGTATGGCTGGGCCAGTGGCCCCTCTGAAATCATCTCTCCCAAGACAGTATAGCACCTACGTGGTGCTGATAGGATTGATGGGACAGATTGTTCCCCAAGTCCCAGCTTAAAATTCTTAACTGGATAGATTTTTAGATTAATTTTTATATTAAAAGATTTTTTTTTAGAGCCAGGCTGTGGTGGCACACGCCTTTGATCTCAGTACTCAGGAGGCAGAGGCAGGTAAATCTCTGAGTTTGAGGTCGGTCTCAGAGTGAATTCAAGGATAGCCAAGGCTACACAGAGAACCCCTGTCTTGAAAAAATAAAAATAAACAAAAAAATAAAAATAAAAATAAAAATAAAACCAAGACCAAAAGTCTTTTAAAGGAATGGGCATGATTGATTTCATCTTTTAGTGGCTATTTGAGTACCTTCCACATACCTGACTGTGTTCCAGTGTGACCTATGAGACCTCATGTCTACATGCTTAGGGATTAGTGTTCGACAGAGAAGCCGAAAGAACGGCCAGATCCACTGCTAGTGTGGCCATAGACATCGGCTCAAAACCTTAAAACCACGTCTCTGAAGTTGAAGGTGTAAACCAGGTAGAAGGGGTCGTATCTGCGGATGCATTTAGTGATAGAGGGTCAGGTAGAGAAGAGCCATGCTGGCACTCAGGCTAACACTCAGCAGACAAAGCTGTGGTGTGGCTAGCCTAGCCTGGCTTCCCTGGCTCGCTGAATCTTGAGAGATTAACTCTCTGGGTTCTCTCCATGAAACATCTCAAGGATTTGAAATTCCTCCAGTCCACACTTTCCCTGTCCATTGCACCTCAGATCACTCCTGACTGCTGCTTCCCCTGTGGCCGTTTTCAGCCTGTTCACAGACACGTTATTTTCTTTTGGAGTTTCCGCATTTTCCTTAGTGTTATCGTGTGGCAAATTGCAAATAAATCCCTATTTCCTGGATGCTTTGATTTTTCTTTTTTTTTTTAGATGCATATCTGTTTTAGCCAAATCTGTTGGAAATGACCTCCCTCTGATTCTTCTCTCTAGATTCTGTGCTCGTGGTAAAGGCGCGACAGCCAAAGCCCTTCTTTGCTGCGGGGAATACATTTGAGATGACTTGCAAAGTGTCTTCCAAGAATATTAAGTCACCACGCTACTCTGTTCTCATCACGGCTGAGAAGCCTGTTGGGGACCTCTCCAGTCCCAATGAAACCAAGTACATCATCTCCCTGGACCAGGATTCCGTGGTGAAGCTGGAGAACTGGACCGACGCCTCGCGGGTGGACGGCGTCGTGCTAGAGAAGGTCCAAGAGGATGAGTTTCGATACCGAATGTACCAGACTCAGGTCTCTGATGCAGGGCTCTACCGCTGCGTGGTGACAGCCTGGTCTCCCATTGGGGGTAGCTTGTGGCGAGAAGCAGCAACCAGTCTCTCCAATCCAATTGAGATTGACTTCCAAACCTCAGGTGAGCGGAGAACTCTGTGAAGTCATGGATGGAGCTGTAAGACCAGCCTGATATTTTAATCCAGGGTCCTTATTATTTGTTTACTTGTGTGTGTGTGTGTGTGTGTGTGTGTGTGTGTGTGTGTGTGTGTGTGTGTGTGTATAGTATATGTGTGTGGTTTATGTGCACATGTGTGTGCTTGGGAAGGCAGAGGAGGATGTCGGGTGTCTTGCTCAGTCACTCAGCCTTCTTCCCTTGAAACAGTTTCCCACTGAGCCTGGAACTAGGCTGATGGCTAGAAAGCCAGGGATGCTTCCCTGTGCCCGCCACTGACAACAGGTGGCAGTGCTGGGGTTACTGGCAGATGTGACCTCACCCTGCTTTTTAAACGGGGGCTGGGGATTTGAACTCAGGTACTCATTATTAGGCGGCCATCCCTCTTCTATATTGTGCCGCCTCCCAAGACCCTGTCCTTGCTTTTTTCGAATAGCTTGTGAAGTAGAATTCGTCTGCCATTTCGTTTATCCATTTAAGGTCCATAATTCTGTGGCTTTTCATATATCCACAGGATTGTGTGGCAATCAGTCACCATAGTCAGTTACAGAATATTTCTGCGGTACCCAAATGAAACTCGGACCCATTACCCAACAGTGTCCAGCCTCCCACCTCCAGCAACCACTCTGCTTCCCTTGTGTATGGATTTTCCTGCACTGTGTGCTTGACACAGAGGTCACCTTTGAGTCTGGCTGACTTGACTGGGCATAGTGTTTTCCCACGTCACCCGTGTGGCAGCATGTTGCCCTTCCACTTCATCTTTATGACTGAGTACTGTCCCACTCCATGGTGAGGCCACACTTTATCATTTTGTCAGCTGATGGACAGTTTGGGTGTTTTCAGGTCCCCACTGTCTTAATTCACTCATGTGTAAGTTATTGTTTCTGGTTTGGAAATATATGTTTTTATTAAAAAAAAAAAAAAAAAAAAAGACTGGAACTCAGACTTCAGTCTTTGGAGAACACAGTGGAGAGAAAAGCACATGGCCTGTCAGAGCGGATGGTTCAGAACGGGAGCCTGAATCCAGTCTCGTTCTATGGCTTCCAGTTCCAGGACTGGAGGTGGCGATTGCAGCTCTGGACCTCTAGGACTCTCTCCACCCAGAGATGGCCCTCAGCCTTACTCCTTCCCTCCGTTTTAGACGGGATAAACTTCCTGAAATTAGGTGTTACCAGAGTTGCTGTGGTGCTGTGTATCGGTGACTGTCAGCTTGGTGTGTTAAGAATGGTTATTGATGATGTTTCTCTTTGGTGCTTATTGTGTCTGCTCAGAAAGGAATTTATCCTCAGCAACTAGAAGATTATCATGTTGTAAGGCAGAAAAGCCTACATTTCTGAACTGCATAGCTACAAGGTGTATGTTCTCAAGTGGAAATATTTCACACTTACGTGTGACTCACTAGGCTCTGACACACCTTCAGTGTGTGTGTCTTTCGATGGGAAGACGGCTTTTAAAGCTTCAAACCCCCAATCTCATTTAGATGACCCTGGTGAGAATTACCTTCTGTGACAGACTAACAGTGCTCACTAGTATGCCCTGCATACTAGTTAGGGAGTTTTAGGGTTTTGTTTTGTTTTATACTTTGAGAGTTTTGAATGCATACATTTATACTCATCTGTAAAAAATCTGTCATTAGCTGAATCATTATAACACATGCAAGATGCTTTAATTAAATTATTCACATTTGGAGGGTGGAGAGATGGCTCAGTGGTTAAAAGCACATAACTGCTTTTGCAGAGGACCCAAGTGTGGTTCCCAGCACCCATGTTGAGCATATCACACCCACCAGTAACTTGAATCTTTTTAAAAAAGAAATTGTTAAACCATTCACATCTGTTTATAGGTAAGTCAGAATCTGCCTGCCTTTGCCTCGGGGATGCTGGGATTAAAGGCCTGTGCCACCACACTTGGCCCTTCTTGGGCAATTTTGTCATGGAAAAGACTTATCAAATAATATCCCCTCCCATCCTCTGTATTTGTGTTTGTTGAGCTGATTACATACTTATTTTACATTAGTTATATCAATTATGTGGTAGAGGGGAGATATAAAATCCTTTGTATATATTTCTGGGTTAGGGATGGATATTGGGTCTATTTCTTAATTCTTTAAATCTCAGTATGGCAGCTAGTCATCTCTTTACTTCCAGGTTGAATAGATTGCCTAAAAACTGTATTCTGTCTGTAGAATTGTCAGTCTGTCCCCATCTGAATTAGAAGCTGCCACCTGATGATTGACAGCCCAATGCTAGGGACCCAGATCACCTCCCTAGTAAACAACTGATTTGGTCCCAAAGAACCTTTACTTCCTACACATCAGCACTCTCCTTAAGATCCATGACAAAGTCCACCCTGGCTCCACCCTCCTGTCACCCAATCTCCAGCCTTGGTCTCTTGTTAGATCATGGCTTAGGTGCTGACCTAAGTATCAGGGTTCAAATGAGATTAAAGCATAATGAGGTAGGCATCATCCTTTTAAAAGAGTAGCAAATTTTTTCTTTTTAATACAGGAGTTTGTAAATAGAGTGAAGGTGCTCAGAAGTTAAAGGCACTCCTTCTGAGGTCAATTCCTAGTGCCCACATTGCCGTTCACAACTGTGCATAACTCCAGTCCCAGGGGAGCTGACGCCCTTTGCTGGCCTCCATGGGAACGACACATGTGATGCTCAGACATACACACAGGAAAAACGGGCATACACTTCAGATAAAAATAGTACTTAAAAAATTAAAATAGAGCCATGCCATAGAAAGTAGAGCAGTCACACCCCCACCCTCGCCCTGCCCTATGAACGCTAATTTAGGTTGTTCATCTTTCTGGAGCTTTTCCTCTGGTGGTCTCTTCATGACTTGGGAATCTTGGCTATCCGTAAAATTCTGTGACCCACTTCCTCCCCCCTTTAATCGTTTTTTCCTGTTACAATAAATGCCAGGTAGACGCTCTCGTAGTGACTGCAGAGAGTGGCATCACTGAGCTGAGACCCCATGGCTGGGGACCAGATGGGTTACACCATTTGCTTACACACAAATGCTGCCTTTCCAGCCTTTTTCTAGGGTGGGGGTGTCCATGTTTGTATTTGAAAGGTAAGTGGTCCCTATACTCTCAGCTGACTAGGAATTCAGGGACCCCTAGTGACTCTGGCCGTTCACCGAATTCTCAAGACGTAGTCTGTGGTCTGCAAAGTTAACCAGACAAATTCCCTCACAAAACAGCATTGCCACAAAAATTGAGCATAATGAAAATATTTCTAAATATCCCATTATTCTGGGATAATGGCCATATTACCATTGAGCTATTGATTTCATTAGAAGGAAATCCACCACTGTGAGCTGTTCACCACAATGAAGGCCTTCTTTCCCAGCCCTGTCTGCAGTGTGAGACAGAGCACAGACCCTCCCTTGGTTCCCACGGCAGCCACCAGTAGGGAAATGGGAGTTATGACTTGTGCTCCAGAAGGCATTTGGGGTTCTCTTTGGAAAAATAAAGAAAAGTGACATTTGTTCAAATTAGGTAAGTCTTTCTTCATTGTTTCAGATAAGAAAAATACATATATCAGTTGAGCATTTCAGTGTTTGGTCACTTGGGGTCCTCTTAGAAGGGGCCTGAATACTTTCAAAGAAAGCCCTTAGCCAGAGTTATTACAATGAAGTTTCTAATCTACGGGAAAATTATAATCCTCTTGTTCACCATGGCCACTGACACCCTGAACCGACAGAACAACATTCCCAGTCATTTCCTCAGAACAGGTTCAGAGCAGTGAGGCTGGCCCTGTCCTCCACACAGCTGTGGGCAGAGTGGGGCCAGAGCATGAGAACCTAAGGGAGCTGGGGCCAGAGCTGAGTGTCTGTAGGAGATGATGTCCCCTGGGACTGCCATCCTGCCATGTTCTCAGCCCCTCTGGAGTGAAGTCCCCAGGTCTCCCTAACACACTTACCTCCATAACCACCTTTTCTTTACCTTTCTCTCTGAACTACACAAATTATTCATATCCTTAGTGCTAGGAAAGCAATTTAATGACTTCTTATTAGTCATCAAATTGAAGGGAAAAGAGAGCCAGAGTCATTTCAGCTCATTGCCTCATGACGGTGTAACCTTTCACACACTCTCCTGAGCGAGTACCTTTTTATGGATGCTTAAAAACACACTTTGGGGTACATTTTCCTTTCCAGTAATCTGAACAAGAAAACAGTAATGTCCCTGTTCCTCAAGTAAGCTTTACCTCAGCTTCCCAGGCCATCTATCTGTGCTCTACTGAAAATCCAAGTAGAATCCCATAGCACTGATGTTCTAGAACATTCTTTCAGTTTTTCCTATTCCTAGATTTTAGAAGTTGGGATGATAAGGTTAAATATTAAGCTGTGGGGCTGTAGAGATGGCTCAGCTGCTCTTCTAGGAGACTCAGGTTCGATTCCCAGCACCCACATGGCAGCTCACAACTGTAACTCCAGTTCCAGGAGATCTGACACCCTCCTACAGACATGCAGGCAGGCAAAACACCAATGCATATAAAATAAAAATAAATAAATCATTTTAAAAAAGCATTAAGCTGTTAGGATCAGTTTGGCTTGAGCTATGTAACGCCCTTAACCTAGGAGGGAATCAGAGATAGGTTCATAGTGATCATTAGGCCACTGTATTCTTGTGGGGAGACAAAGCCTATCTCAGTGGAGGTTGAGATTGTGTGTGTGTGTGTGTGTGTGTGTGTGTGTGTGTGTGTGTGTGTGTGTGTGTGTGTGTGTGTGTGTGTGTGTGTGTGTGTGTGTGTATCTCAGTTATAGTTCCGCAGCAGAATTGACTCCAAAATATGGCGCACTCCTATACGCACCCTGCCTCCTCCAAATTGGTTGGTCTTTTAAATGACTCTCCAGGCTGTCTCTGTTCCCTGAAATTGTAGTATCCTCTCAGTGCCCCCTACTATACTTTATCTAAACATTGGCATTGTTGGGGCACGGGCGGTGTGTGTTCCGTCTCCTAACTGGGTTTCAGCCCTTTAACTCTGGGGTCTCTGTCCCCATCAGTACTGCAGAACATACTGAGGCGGTGAACATGTTCAAGGTCTGCCCCAGAGAGCTTGCAGCCTTAGAGACACCCGTGAAGACAGACAGACCAGAGGAAGAATGACACCATTAGAACTTTCAGGATGGCTCTGTAAAGCCCTTCCTCCCATTGTCCTGGAGATGAAACCTTGCCCATGCTAAGCCTGTCCCAAGCTGTGTTCCTAGCTCTGTGAATCTCTGTAGAAAAGATTAGCCTTGCCAACAGATGCCTCAGGATTGTGGGCCCATCCCTCCTACATTCTCTGCTTGGTGCATTCAGCAGCCAGGTGACGTCCCTCTCTCATTGGTTGCTCTGGTCTTAAAGGAGCATTAAAGGCATTAGGGTGTTGTCCCTGTTCCTGAGCAGTCACCCAACTGGGACCAAAAGCATGTGTGGTTCAGTTCCTGACCCTCTGGCTCTAACCCACCCCGGCTAGTTTGAACTGCATGGAACCAGGAACCAGCCTAAGCTTACCAGCAGGGAGGGGAGCATATTCTACCAAAGGAGCTGTGGTCGTCAGGCAGAGACAGTTCAGTTCAGGTTTAGTCAGGACTGAATTCGGGTAGGTGTGCCCCATGCCGGTGTCTCTGAGTAGAGAAAAGAGATCGTAGAGTAGACCTGCTTTCTGAGCCCTCTAGACCAGGTCCCAGGAAAGAGAGCCACATTTGAGACGCTGTTGGAGCTTCAGGAATGGGATTTGAACGTGTGCGAAAGAGTAATGCAGCTGAAATGTCACTCTCTTCCAGGTCCCGTATTTAATGCCTCTGTGCACTCAGACACGCCGTCAGTCACCCGGGGAGATCTCATCAAGTTGTTCTGTATTGTCACTCTGGAAGGAGCAGTGCTGGATCCAGGTACCTCCCTCCGCTCTGTCCCCTCCTCCAGTTGCCTTCTGTAAATGTTGTCCTTGTCATTCTCAGTGTGTCACTCAGGTGTGGGGACTAGGGTTTGGGTTGTCTGTCGATCTCCATGTGTCTTAGGTAAGTAGGGTTTCTGTTGATGTGAAGAAACACCATGACCCAAAAGCAAGTTGGGGAGGAAAGGGTTTATTTGGCTTACACTTGCACATCACAGTCCATCATTGAAGGAAGTCAGGATAGGAACTCAAACAGGGCAGAAACCATAGATAGAGTGGTGCTGTTCACTGGCTTGCTCTCTATGGCTTGCTCAGCCTGCTTTCTTATAGAACCCAGGGGTGGCACCACCCACGATGGACTTGGCCTTCCTCCATCAGTGACTAATTCGAAAATGCCCTACAGCTGGATCTTACAGAGGCATTTTCTCAGTTGAGGCTCCCTTCTCTCAGATGACTCCAGCTTGTGTCAGGTTGACAAAAGATTAGCCAGGACACCTCTTTTCCTGACTTGGTGCCGGCTTGGGTCTCTGAGGCCGTCTATCTGCTGTGAGATTTGAAAACACTTTTCAGGGCCATCAGGAGATCTCTTCCTGGGTTACTGTGACCTGCCTAGAGACCCACTCACAGGGTCCTCCTTCTCTATGTCATGCATTCATTATTTCTGAGTTCCTTCAGTGCACAAGAGCAGCTGTAGAGCAGTGAACATGTTCAAGGTCTGCCCCAGAGAGTTTGCAGCCTTAGAGACACCCGTGACGACAGACAGACCAGAGGAAGAATGACACCATTAGAACTTTCAGGATGGCTCTGTAAAGCCCTTCCTCCCATTGTCCTGGAGATGAAACCTTGCCCATGCTAAGCCTGTCCCAAGCTGTGTGTCCCTAGCTCTATGAATCTCTGTAGAAAAGATTAGCCTTGCCAACAGATGCCTCAGGATTGTGGGCCCATCCCTCCTACATTCTCTGCTTGGTGCATTGAGCAGCCAGGTGATGTCCCTCTCTCATTGGTTGCTCTGGTCTTGAAGGAGCATTAAAGGCATTAGGGTGTTGTCCCTGTTGCTGAGCAGGACTGTACCCACCTTTGCCTTTTCTCGAAGGTTCTGTGACGAGCCTAGCTTGCTGAGGCCTGCCCTCCTCCCTTACACCCGTTGTGACCCTGACCCTGTCTCGCCCCACCCCATTCCTAACAGAGTCATTCACTTTAGAGCAGCCAGCCGAATCGTGTGAGTTCTTGTGTGGTTGTGTGTGTGTAGACGCCTGGAAGTATGGCCCTGGGGGCACGCAGGCAGGATTTGTTGTTCTCTGTGAAGTGCTGATACACGGGATGGGATGGTGGACCATGCAGGCCTCACCGGTATCTGGAAGTAATCTACTGAGTAGCCCCCACTGTCAGGGTGGATGCCTGGCTCCTTCAGGACTATACCGTTCAGAGGTTCAGATGAACCTGAACATGCTTCCTATGAAGGACCCAGTAGGAAATAGTTTGGGCTCTGCGGGTCATATGGTCCCAGCCACTCAGCTCTGCCTCGGACACAGGGAAGCAGCAGTGGGTGACAATATAAACAAACGAGCATGGCTGAGGAGCAGGAAAACCGATCTCCAGAACAAGGTAGGCTGCATTTGACCTGCGGGCATGGTTTCTTGCCGATACCAGCCTTTGCTCTCCAACGTCCATGTGCTTTAGAAGAGGTGGGAGAAAGGCGTTTGTAGGAGGAAAGGAAGAGAAAGAACCCTCCCCCACCCCCAGCACACACACTTGCACACCCAGGGGCTGCTTAGCTTGTTCACCGGGGTAAGGCGTGAAGAGACTGAAGCAAGCGAGCGGCCACTGCCGTCCTGAAGCTGGAAAGCATAGAGACACAAAGGTACCTTTGCACGTGGAAATGAAGGTAAACGTAGAAAAGATTGTCAGGGAAAGGCATGCAAAACCCCTTTAAAAGTCTGCCTCGGGCATTGCTGTTCTAAAGCTCACTTATGATATATTCAGAAATAAACCCTCCGAATGCTCTTTCTCAGCAAATTAATAGGTCGCCGGTTGTGCCTTTCATGTAGAACTCTTTTCTCCAAGTGTAATTGCAAAAGCTATAGGTAGCCGGTATCTTGCAAATCACAATTTTCCAGAACTTTGCACTCTTGGTCTGTGTGGGTGGAAGAGTCTGAATAATTAAACACAAATTGTGATTTCTTTCTTTTTTTTCCTTTTTTTCATTCATCCTATGGGCTCTGAGAGGGAATTCTCTGTGGGAAAGTTGCATAAGTGGGCTGAGAGCCAAGGCACTCCTGTACCAGGGCAGGAGGGGAGCAGCCAAGCGTGGGTGGCGCCATGGTCCGGCTCCGCAGCAAAGCAGAGTGAGGATGAGTCATGGAGGGCTTTCTCCAGAGTGTGCTGTGAGGGCGCGAAGGAGCGGAGCCCCAGCAGCCATACTAGTGGGACTTGGAGCTGAGGGCCACAAAGGAGCTGGGCTTTCGTGTCCTTGGCGGAAGTTAACAGTGTCTTGTAGCCTCCATGAGGCATTTCTAGCAAGTAAGGTGGCTCTGGAGAGGTACGGTTAGAGAGTGTCAGCATCTAGAACCTTCACCAGTGTATGCGGTGGGATGAGGTGGCTCCGCACAGCAGCTGTCCACATGAGGGACCCACAGTCTTGACAGCAGAGAGTCATGCCCTTCCTCCCAGCAGCAGCTACTTGTCTGGCCAGGTATGGAGATGAGGCCAGTCACTTAATTATTAAGCACTCACTGTGGTCCAGCGGGGGTTCTTGCAGTGTTTGCCCATGCTCTTAGATTTATTTTTTTAGTGTGTGTGTGTGTGTCTGTGTCTGTGTCTATGTGTGTCTGTATACAAGTGTGTGTCTGTCTGTCTGTCTGTGGAGGCCAGAAGAGAGCGTCAGACCTCCTGGAGTTGGAGTTACAAGCAGTTGTGAGCCACTTGACATGGGTGCTGGGAACTGAACCCGGGTCCTCTGCAAGAGCAGTGAAGTGCTCTTCACTGCTGAACTGTCTCTCCAGACCCCTATCAATTGCACTTTACAGATGAGGAAATTAAGTTGCCGTGAACTAACATGGCTTGTTCAGGTCATGTGGCCAGTAGGCTCTGGGGTTCTAGCCAGGCTAGCTCACCCTACCATCCTATAATGCACAGTGGGGAATACAGCAATGGGAACACCCCTATGCCTAGAGTTTCCATGGGTAGAAGTGCCCACTGTGCCCTGGCCCTGGCGGGGAATGAGGCAGTTCGCAGTACTCACTCCATTTCCTGCCCAGCTGGTCTCAGAGACTTACATACTGGGAACTGTTTGTGCCGATGTATGTAGGGTGGAGGAGAGAGATGATCTGCCTTAGTGGTGAGCCGAGAAGGAATTTTCATTTGGACACGTTAGGAAATGCCTACTTTGGGTTCCGCTCAGTCTGTCTTACATGGGTCGGGATAGCATTTGTTTGCCTTGTAGTGTGTTTTCCAAAGTTACTGGTCTATTTCCACTGAATTAATGTGTGTTATTTTTTGTTGTTCAACAAAAACTGACATATAAAAAGTCCCATGCCAGGGGTGTAGCTTACCAGCAGAGTGCTTGCCCAGCACGGCCCTGGGTTCAATACTCGTAGTGGTTGTTTTTTTTTTTTTAAGGAATTTTGTCAAGCAGATTTAAGACGTAATTGTGTTTCTGATCCACAGTTCTCACATGCCTTCTGGATGAATTTCTCAGCTCAACAGCTGGTATTGGTTGGTACGGTCAAGGGGGGTCTGAGTTTAGCATGTGGCCTCAGTTTCCACAGTCTCTGTAACCACGCCCTTTCTCTTTGCCCATCTTAATTCATTTGAGGCTGTTGGAATCTCAGTTGCACAGCGTACTTCATGATCCAACAGCTTTGCTCTCTGGGACTATTAACTAGGTTCAATTTTCTCAGCTTGATTTTTTTTTCCCCTCTTGTTTTGAACTTAAAACACTTCTGCAAGGGGGAAGAAGAAAAAATAAAACTACAGTGAACAATAAAATCCAAACTGTCTACAGCTTTTAATTTGGTACCGTTCATTTTGTGTACATTTTGTTCTTTCACACTTCCACCCTTCCCAGTCTCCTGTTCTTTGGCTTGAAGTGCCCCGGGACCCTGCACACACAGGGCTGTCTGTGGAAGCCAAAGTGACCCCAGGTCTTTGTCCTGTGGTTCCTTAGGGTGGTGGTTAGGTTGGACACTTTGTCATAAGCTCACACACTACTACCTGTGGCTGTGTGGCATTGCCACAGGGGTGAATGTGACACAGTTCATCATCACAGGCTGCTTGAGGCTTCATCTAGAACAGACCTGGCCTGGAATAAGGGTTCCAGACATGGGAGTGTGTAAATCACTTCTGCTCACACACTGACCTCGGCGTTTTGGCTTGTTAATCCACAGACGACATGGCCTTCGATGTATCCTGGTTTGCAGTACACTCCTTTGGCTTGGACAAGGATCCCGTCCTCCTATCCTCCCTGGACCGGAAGGGAGTCGTGACTACAGGCCAGAGGGACTGGAAGAGTACTCTCAGCCTGGAGCGAGTGAGCGTGCTGGAATTCCTGCTGCAAGTGCACGGCTCTGAGGACCAGGACTTTGGCAACTACTACTGTTCTGTGACTCCGTGGGTGAGGTCACCGACAGGTTCCTGGCAGAGGGAGGCCGAGATCCACTCCAGGCCCATCTTTATAACTGTGAAGATGGATGGTGAGCTCCCTCGCTGAGTTTCTGGAGTATCTTCTTCTTGTGTTTTGCTGTAGCACATAGAATCCAGGTTTCCATAGTTTGGTCCAGCTTATTTTTTTTTTTTATCTAGGGCCTGGCTTGGGCCAAAGCAGTTTTGCAAGTTGCTAGCTTTGCAGTTCTGGCCTGGTGACCGCACTGGGAGAAGATTTTTAGGAGCGTTGGCTCTTCTGTGGCTCTGTGGAAACCCACTTCACTGTGGTTCCTAAGGCTGGCGGGGCTCCTGCCGTGTGGGGGCAGAGAGGTCTTCAGGCGAGGCTGTAAAGACTGACTACTCTTGCCCACCTGCTGCCTTTTTGTGATCTCATGTGGCCCGGGCTTGCTTCACAGTCACTGTCTAGCCCAAGGCTGGCCTCGAACTCCTGATCTTCTCACGTCTCTCTCCCATCACATATTGTTTTACTTCTTGGAAAAGAAAGGTTCCCCCAGAGCCACTAGCACAGAGTGGGGACCTCTTGGAACCCCGAGATGGGAGAGTGTCTCTTAGCTTTACTGACCCATATCAACTCCACCCCATCCGGACCAGCCTAACCAATCATATCTCTGCCCCTTGAGCATCTCAGAACTGGGCACTTGTCCCTTTATTCTCAAGAAACATGTCTGTCCTGTGAAAGCCGCAGAAAGCTACTCCATTTGGAACAACTCCGTGGAGAGAATTGATTCCAGATGCTCCAAGGGTTAGGAGAAGCTTCGACCAAGTGTGTTTCCCTAGTGGCAAATCAGTTTGAGGAGAGGTGCCTTCCAACTCCAGCTCCTCCTCAGGTCCCTCAGTCTTTCTGCTGTGTGA